CATGTGTCTCATGGCTTGTTACCTCATTTTTTACACATCCTGCTTGTTTGGCAGTGTTTCTTGACTCTGCCCTTCTCCTTCCCTTCAGCCTTAGCTTGGTTACCCCACCTATACTTCCTGCCCAGCTACTGGCCAATTAGCATTTTATTAAACCAATTCTAATGACAAATCTTTACAGTATATGAAAGGATTGTTCCACAGCATACCCCAGTGATATACTTTCTTCAACACCTAGTCCAGCAAGGTCACATCTTCAAATCCCTGGCAAGTAGCATCACTTTTTAATGACAAGCATTCCTATGGGAGCCATTTCCGTTCACACCACAACAGTTATCATCAGGAGCCGTCACACTGCATGATCCTTAACCTGTCCTTTATGGGCAGGTCTCCCCTGAACCAGTGTCTCATCACTGGGAAACTGTATCTTTTTGCATAGCTCTTCCCTCTCTTTGTTCATCCTCCAGATCTGCTTCTCTTTCAGTGGGAAGGAATATCTTGTACTTTCACAGAAAGACCTTTTCTGTGAGCCTGGATTCCATAGGTCTTTAAGCCCATTCACCTTGCAATCATCAGCTTGTTTATATTTATTATATGACTGGATAAATGTGCAATAATCTTATGTATCTGTCCATTCACTAATTTATTGCCCTTTACTCCTAGTAGGTCCAGACTAGTACCAGTGGGAGTAGACATCCCGTTTGTCAGGCTGCAACATCCTATAGTTAAACTCAATAGATCTTATCAAATGTATGTATGCTAAAGGGTAAATTGGGCTCCTGGCTCATAGCTTAGCTGAATTATGTTACTTTCCATTTTATTTTGACTAAAACAACAACAACAACAAAAACAAAAAGTTCCTCCAGAGATGGCTCAACAATTAAGAACACTGGCTGTTCTTCCAGAAGTTCAATTTCCAGTGTCCACACAGTGGCTCACAACTGTCTGTAACTATAGTCTCAGTATCTGATACCCTGTTCTGGTGTGCACACATGCAGAAAAAATACTCATATTCATAAGATAGATGATAGATAGATAGATAGATAGATAGATAGATAGATAGATAGATAGATAACAACGAACAACAACAAAATGAATGAGCCAGGCATAATGGTGCACTGTCAGGAGTCATGCCATGGGACCAACAAACAGCTATGGAATTCATAGGACATGACCAAGCAATCAGGAAAGTCACACCTGAGTGAGCCTTGGAGAGGCAGAACCTGGAGGACTATGTGTCCTAAGGACCTCATGCTGTTATTAAGCATAGCACTGGTTGTTATCTCCATGTCCCTCATAATCTGTGAGTTGTACGAAAACTCTCAGGGGGGTTCTAGTCCCTCCCTGGACCATGTTACTGGTACTTACAATAATAGTGATTGACTTTTTCCAAGCATTACTGCTGGAACAGATTAGTGATCCAAACACCACCATTAGAAAGAATTTCGACATGTAGATTGTTAGTAAAGTTATGTTAAGATGTTTTGTCAATGACTTTGAGGTAGAAAATCTTAGGGAACAATTTTGGGGGAACCAGGGCAACCTGGCCACACAGAATGGGGCCCAGACCATGTGGAGCCCATGGCAGGCTGGCCACACATGGGGTCCAGGCTGTACAGCTGCCATGGCAGGCAGCACCAGGTTCCAGGAAAAGCAATGAGCTGACACCACCCAGGGAGGTCCAGCATCTAAAGGGAAGTACCTTGTAACATGAGGGCCAGGCTCCTTGGGGTTTCTGTCCTGCCCAGTCCCCCAGCCCTTTAGTCCCAGAGAAAATCACACAGAGATCTCCACAAGATTATAAACTGATTGGTCCATTAGCTCAGGCTTCTTATTAGCTCTTGTAGCTTATATTAACCCATTGTTCTTATCTATGCTAGCCACATGAAGATCAGCTTGCTTCCATGCATTGGGGAGGAGTGGGCGTGGCTTGTCTCTTAAAGGGACAGAGTCTCTTTTCCATCTCTCTCTTGAAGAGCGAGTTTCTGTCTCTCCCTTTTCCCTACTTCTTCCCTTCCATTTCTCTCTCTCTCTCTCTCTCTCTCTCTCTCTCTCTCTCTCTCTCTCAGTAAATATCTAACCTCACTCTGCATGGTGTGCCTATCTGTGTCTCTTGCCCACCACATGGCTCCCTGCCCTGAACCAGCCACCTTCAGAGACCTGCAGCGTGGTCTCATGGTATGCCCATCTGTCTGTGGCTCCTCATGGGACTGGCTCCTCTCGGGACCCATTGCCCACTGCCTGCCTCCACTTCAGAGACCTGATGCCCACCTGCAGCCTGGTCTCGGGACCCGCTTCCCACTGCAGCCACTTGGGAATTCACAGCATTTTACTTAATCCATTACAGTGGGTATGCACCCTGAGGACTTAAAGTAGAACAAACTGATTGGTTTTCATATGTAAAAGTTTAGATTTGTGATTCTTTTAAGATTTTTTAAGATTACCTTTTGAGATAAATAATAAAAGGATTGATCTTTCCTTTATAAGAGCAAAATGTAGCCTGCCAGTAAAAGAACTGGCTGAGAAAAATAACTTGCATGCTTAGACTTTGTTAATCTATAACAAATTGCTTGGTCTTGAATGTATAGTGTTCTTAGAGATAATTTGGTTTTTGACTGTAACATGTGAAGTGTTAATCATGTAAGGTATTTTACATGCAGGTTTTAACTTGTTTTTATTGGAATCATTCACCTGAAAAATAGAATGTAACTAACATTGCAATTTTTATATTGCTGAGAGATTTTGCTGTGGTATATAAGCTGCAAAGGGAAAAATAAAGACAAGAAGGAAGAAAACATCAGGATAGAAGAACAGAACAGAAAAAGTATAGAATAGGACAAAGCACCAGAAAGAATAATAAAATTCATAATTGAGCTTTGACCCTCAGAAAAGTCCTTGTGTGTCTGTCTGTGGTCTGTTGGAACCTCCAGCTCTCCCCTACAAGATCCAGAAAACCCTGTTCCAGTCTCTCTCCAAACCCTGCCCACTCAGTGAATCACAGAACAAAGGAAAGGCACCCAAGGCCCAGTTCCACATTTTGGCAACTCTAAAGTTGCCAGTTGCCCAAGTCCCCATCTAAAGTGTTCAGATTTTGACCATACTTGGACACAAACCCAGTTTGCAGAAGACATGTGATCACCCTTTGCCAACAACCTATAAAGTTTCTCAGGCACTGACTGGAGATCCTGCCTTGGAGTTGTTTGATCAAATAAACCTGTTATGCTTTTTCCATTCAGCTTGATCTGACTTACTGTGTCAGTAGATAAGCCTTTCATGGAGGGGGTTAATTTTTGAGACAGAATCTGGCTATATTGGCTACCCTAAAAATCATTATGTAGACCAGATTGGTTTTGAACTTCTCTGGTCCTCCTGTCTCTGCCTCCCAAGTGCTATGATTTTAAGTGTGACTTTCCTGAGCTTTAGATTTGCACAGAGAAAGGACTGGGGTAAAGAATTGAAATTCCTCTCTGTCATCATAAGATTTGATTTGATTGATCACCTCATTTCTGGTTAAAGTGTTATGGTAAAAATAAAACGGTGCCATTCCCCAAGTGGCTGCAGTGGGCAGCAGGCCTCATGGGCCATGAAGGCAGCAGGTCCCAGGCAGGGAGCCATGCAGTGGGTGAGAGACCTCAGTTGAGCAGCCAATCCCACGAGGAGCCATAGCCCCCGTGGGTGAGAGACAGACTGATAGGCACGCCATGCAGAGTAAGGTTGGATATTTATTTAGTGGGTTATGGAAGGGAAGGGGAGAGGGAGTAAGGGAAGGAGGGGGAAGAACAGAGAGAGAGAGAGAGAGAGAGAGAGAGAGAGAGAGAGAGAGAGAGAGAGAGAAGGAAGGGGAGAAGTAGGGAGAATGGAGAGAGGCAGAAGCTGACTCTTTGGGGGAGAGAGGGAAAAGAGAGGGACTCAGGCTGGAAGCTGAAGATCAGCTTGCCTGGGGAAGCTGGGAGGGAGTAGACATGGCTTGTCTCTTAAAGGGACAGAGCAAACCGTTACAACCATACACTTCAGACACAGGATTCTGTTGACTGTATCTGACCCGAAAAACCTCCTCCATAAGGGTCATCTTTCATACTACTAGTGCTATGTAAGCTACCAAAAGGGGGAAGAAATTTCTACACCTACCTACCTTAGAAGCACAACAATGTCCAGCATGGCAAGACATCTCTAAATGGGCAATAGTGGCATTCACTGCTTGGCAATAACCAACAGCTCAGTTCAGGACAGATCAGCCTTTCCATTTCAAATTGAAGGCACAGTAAAGTGACTGCTGGGCTGTCTCTCAGGTGGCAGAGAAGAGCAGGCAGTGGGAGAAGCCTTGTCAGTTTTAAGGGGATAGGTAGCAGCTGGAGGAGTACGGGTCACAGCAGCCTGGGAATTACTACAGACCGGGTTAATTAGGAATTAGTTGCCCTTGCCCAAGATAGTTGACCACTGGGGTGGTGTCTTAGTTAGGGTTTTATAGCTGTGAAGAGACACCATGACCACAACTCTTTAACTTTTATGATCTGTGACAATGTGGAAAAAAAAAATAAGAACACAACTCCAACATCAACAAAAATCTTTTATGTGGGTACTGAATAAATATGAGCTTGAGGTCAGAAGCCTTGGCTGGATTCTTCAACAGCTTTCCATCTCCTGAGTTGCTAGGATTAGGCATAAGTAACTGATGGTAACACCTGGCTTTGATGGGTAATTTTTACTTTTTGTTTGTTTGAGACAGGGTTTCTCTGTAGCTTTGGAGCCTGCCCTTGAGCTCACTCTGTAGCTCAGGCTGGCCATGAACTCATGGAGATTCACCTGTCTCTGCCTCCTGAGTGCTGGGGTTAAAGGCATACGCCACCACTGCCCGGCGATTTTAATATATATTGGGTTTTTTTTTTTTTTTTTTTTTTTTGAGGCAGGGTTTCTCTGTGGCTTTGGAGCCTGTCCTGGTTCTTGCTCTGTAGACCAGGCTGGTCTCGAACTCACAGAGATCCGCCTGCCTCTGCCTCCCGAGTGCTGGGATTAAAGGTGTGCGCCACCATCGCCTGGCTGCGATTTTACTTTTTTGCAACAAGGTCTCACGTATCCCAAACTGCCCTGGAACTTGCTATGTGGCCATGGATGAGCTTGAATTTCTTTTAATGTATCCTCTACCTCTCAAGTGTTAGGATTATGAACAAGCGTCACCACGGCACATGACATGTTATTTCCTAACTCTTTTCATGTCTGCAACCCTTTTATCTGTCGATGATCCACAACTTGTAACAATTTTGAGTCTTCGGGTGGAGAGCGGTGTTCCTGTAACACTCGAGAAGTGAGCACTTCCGTCCTGCGCAACGGTAGGTGCAGTTTCTGGATCCCGCTCCGGCGGCATTAAGAGTTCCAACTGCCATCCTGGACAGACTAGCAAGCAATGGCATTCGGCTGAGTATCCACCCGATTGACACCAAGACTCACCCCACCCCATCCCAGGGTTCTCCTTGGCCTGAAGCCGACGCTGCGGGCTTTGCGCACTCTGCGCATGCGTACTAACATCCAACGCCTCTTCCTCGCCACGAGGCCTGACGGGATTTCCGGTGGCCACCATTATCCTAACTGCCAGAGGCTTTGGGCACCGCTTCTGGTGTGCGGTCCAGGGCGCCCGTTGTGCGGTCCGGGGCTCCCGTTGTGTAGCGCTCGCAGGTGGGTGGGGTGGACTCGGCTGTTGTGTGGTGTCGCAGGCCTCGGCCTGGGCCACACCTGCGCCACTGCCGCCCGTGTGTGACCCGTGTGTGGCCTGTGCCTCGCTACTCCTAGAAAAACTCTGACATACCCCCTGCTTTTTTTAGGAAACCCAGCAGAGTCGGGCGCTCAGCTTGTTGTGTCTCCACCTGTACACTCAGCGGAGGTAAGAGGAAACACTATTTCTCAATTAATTGTTTTAAAAAAAACCCACAAGTTCCTTTTAGTTCATTGTAACTCAATCTGCAAAATAAGTAGGTTTGATTAACATGGTTGTACTTTTATTTCCTGAGTTCAGGTTGTAACCCCTTCCCATCTCCCTCTTCCCTTTCTGGCCTCCCCCATTTCCCTTTCAGACGTTACCAATTTCTTTTTTTTTTTTTTTTTTTTTTTTGGTTTTTCGAGACAGGGTTTCTCTATAGCTTTGGTGCCTGTCCTGGAACTAGCTCTTGTGTAGACCAGGCTGGCCTCGAACTCACAGAGATCCGCCTGCCTCTGCCTCCCGAGTGCTGGGATTAAAGGATTAAAGGCGTGCGCCACCACCGCCCGGCAAGACGTTACCAATTTCTGCTCCTCTACTTCGGCAATGTTAGAATTACAAATCCTACGGCTGGTTTACACAACGCTGTGCTTGGACCTAGGGCAGCCTGTATGCCATACGGCGATCCACCTGAGCTACATCCCCAGCCCTGTTTACAGATGGAAACAGTGATAGTCCCTTATTCTTTATTAGAAAGTCTCTTCTTTGATAGTTATAGTGTTTGGGGCTTTGCACCTGGTTTAGAAATCTAGTTACAAGTTTCTGAACAATTCAGGATATCGTATCTTCCCATAGGGCCAGAGGTGTGACTTGGGTTCTGTCCCTGGGGCCATTCATTAAGAGTACTGTGGTTTCGAGGTTGATTTTGTGGCTCCTGGGGCCCCTGACTCCAGTGCTCTCCAGAGTTTGTTAATACCTAACTAGTTGCCAGCCTCATCTTTGAAAGATGTGATATAGGAAGATGGATACTCTGAGTGATCACCATGCCTTTGGGATCAGCAGGAGTCTGACAAGATACTTCATGGTTGTGATACATAGTAGGATGGGTCAAGTGGCTGATAACGGTCATTCCCATTGCTCAGATAAAATGTAAGGAACACATTTGAAGAGCTGCTAGAGGCTTACAGAGCTGAGCTTTAGGGTGAGCAGAGCTAACCAAGGGAGGCATAGCACCTTCAAGGTGAGATGGAGGACAAGGCTGGAGTTCCCATCAATCTTTGTGCTTGGTGGTCAGATGGCATGTCACTGGTACTGGCACTATGGCGGTGTTGAGTCTTAATGGGATCCAATAGAAAGCTTTTGTTGATGTCATGTGTCTAGTATGTTTGGGGTCTGGTTTTCGTTTGCTTTGTTTTGTTTTTGAGAAGGTTTTATTACGCCCTCGTGCCCATATGGTTCCAATGTGCTTTGTTTCCTTTGAGTAGTTATCAGTGTGAGCTTCTTGGTAGGTGGTATCTTTGTGTCCAAAGGAGATGCCTCTGAGGCTGCACTCAGATGGAATCTCTCAAGGCAAGGAACAAGCTGAAAATCACTGTTTTACATGAACTCAAGTACCAGACAGGATATAAACTGTCTTCCATGGGGAGGCAAGAAGATCCCTAGTTAAAGGCTACCTTTACCTCCTTAGAGAATTTGAGGTCATACCAGCTTTATGAGACCCTCTCACAAGTAATCCTAAACAGTAAGAGTGATACAATGACTAAATTTATGTTTGTTTCAAAATATACCCTTGAGCCAGGCATAGTGGCATGTACTTTTAATCCCACCTATCAATCAGAAGGCAGAAAGCAGGCAGATGTCTCTGAGTTCAATGCCAGCCTGGTCTGCATACTTAGCAAGTTCCAGGCTAGCCAGTGCTATATAGTAAGTCTCTCATATACTTCTACCTCCCAAGGGCGGTGATTACATATAGGCACTATATACCAAGCTCTTAATTCCACTTAATCCTTTTGTTTTTTCCTCACTCAAGTGGGACGTAGCTCAGCCTGATCTGGAGCTCCTGATCTTCCTGCCTCTACTTTCCACGAGCTGGGATTACAGACTTTAGACACCAAATCAGCATAGGAAATATTTAGATGATGAGACACTGGCGGAGGCAGCTGTTACAAAGGAAAACATTTAATTGGTGGTTTGCATACAGTTTCAGAGGCTTAGTCCATTATCATGGCAGGGAGCATGGCAGCATGCAGGCAGGAGCTGGAGAAGCAGTTGAGCGCTATAACCTGATCCACAGGAGGTGTGGTGGGGGTGGGGGATAAGAGAGGAAGGAGAAAGACTGGGCTTTTGAAAACTCAGACCACCCTCAGTGATACACTTCCCCCAACGAGGCCACACACTTCCTAATATTTTTCAAAATAATGCCACTCCCTGGTGACTAAGCTCATTCAGTGCTGAGCTTGTGGGGGAGGGGAACATTCTTAGTCAGACCACTTCAGATGGCACGTTAGGGGAGTCTGTGGTCAGTATGTAAGTCATTTTTCCCCCAGTGGTAAAAGCTGGGAAATGCATACAAGTTTTCAAAGATAAAATAGGTCATGAGTTCAATGTGTGGGAAAAGTTATTTGTGTGAAGAGACCTTTGTGGTGGAGAATTTCAGCTGTTCTGTCTCCTTTAACTTTTATTTTTAGATTTATTTTTGTGTGTATGAGTGCTTGTATGTATGTATGTGTACCATGTGTGTGCCTGGTTCCCACATAGGTTAGAAGAGGGCATCGATCCCTTGCAACTGATGTTACAGATGTGTGTCGGCTGCTGTGAACTGACACACATGCTAGGAACTGGACTGGGGTCCTCTGGAAGAATACATACTCTCATCTCCAGCTCTCTGTCTCTGCTTTTAAACTGTCCTTTACATTAGTAAAATATTTTTTTCTTTTGATAACAAAAAAAAAAGGTCCCCTTTCTCACTTTCTTTTTTCCAAGACAGGGTCTAACTTTGTAGCTCTCACTGGCTAGATGACTGAGATCTTGCTGTGTAGACGAGGCTGGACTTGAACTTGGTAGAAATTGAACTGTTGCCATGACTACCTCCTCAGTACTGGGATTGACAATATGCACTATCATGTCTGGCTCATCTTTGCATTTTGTAGCAGACTTGAATTATTCAAATTAAATTAAATGATTACATTATCAAAATTAGGGTTTTTTTTGTTTTTGATCTAGCTAAATATTTTTAAAACTTTTTGGTGCAAGAAATTAAAAAAAAAGAAAGATAGTTGATAATTTTAGCAAAAGAATTTAAATTTCCAGCAAACATTTATACCCACATGTGCATGGCACTGCTGTTTGAGGAAGGATTTAAAATGTCATAAAAATGTGGTTACAAATCTTTAACCCATGAGGCTTGAGACTGCTACTTAGGTCAGTCTTAACACAATATATTTCTGCCAACTCTTTGATCTAGGAAGAAAATTACTTAGTGAAACTTTTTCCCAATTATTAAATTCTTTGATGGAATGAATCAGCTAATTGAGCAGCTTCTTTCCCTTCCCTACACTCTCTGTTTTGTTTTTCTGGTGTTTTTTTTTTTTTTTTTTTTTTTTAGGCAGGGTCATGTATAGTTCAGATCGACCTTGAGAACTGTATGTTCAATTATTGGTTGAATTCTTGGTGGAATTTTTTGGTGCTTAACCCCCATTTCTAGATCAACTGTTGTGATTGTTTCACTTGCTTTTCCTCTTGAAAGCCTCTTTTTGTTTTGTTTCAAAACAGTGTTTCTCTTTGTAACAACTCTGGCTGTCCTGAAACCTGCCTTGTAGACCAGGCTGGCCTCGAACTCACAGAGTTCCTGCCTCTGCCTCCCGAGTGCCAGGATCAAAGGCGTGCACCACCATGCCCAGGTACCATCATCCATTTTTGTTAATGACTATACGTTTTTGCCTTTCTCTCTCACACAGTGTGTACCTGTCTGCCTTTTCTTCACCATGGCTTCTCACAAGACATTCAGGATCAAGCGAGTGCTGGCTAAGAAACAAAAGCAAAATCGTCCCATTCCACAATGGATTCAGATGAGAACTGGCAATAAAATCATGTACAACTCCAAAAGGAGACACTGGAGACGAACCAAACTGGGTCTCTAAGGAGCCATGTGTATTGATGCTGTTTGAAGGTCACCACTAACTTACTGCATCAAGTTTAAAACCTTACCATTATCTAGATATCTGAGTGTGTTTATTGGGGATGTAAGTTTTTTCTTTGTTTCTTTGCTCTGGTAGGTTCATTCAATAGTTCAGTAATAAATATGTGAAACCTTTTGTTTGGAAGAAAAATATTTGCTTGTGTGTTACAACTTACTTTGTTTGGTGGTTCTGGGGTCAAACCAGGACTTTTGCATAATAGAGAAATATTCTATCATTGAACTACATCTCTAGCTCTTGTTTGGGAAGTTGAGTGTTGAGACCTGTTCAGACTGTCTTCAAACTCATGATCCTTCTTCCTCAGCCTTCTGAATGCTCGGAGGACTCCAGCAAGACTAAGTGACAGAAGCTGTGGAAACTTTATTGAGACTCACTTTGTCAGTCATTTCACATGAGTGTTGAAATTAGGTGTTTTTCAACCAATAATTGCTCTCTGATCCTTAATATGTGTCTCATTTAACAAATGATATAAAGTGGCTGTTGTCACATCTTTATTCCCAGCACACAGGAAGCAGAGGCAAGCGGATCTCTGAGTTCAAGGCTAGCCTGTCCTACAAAGCCAGTTCCGGGCCAGCCAGGGCTACAAATGAAAATGAGGCTGTCTCTGAAACTGGACTTAAATCCCTTAGCACATTTCTGAGTTTCCCTGCTCTGTAAGTGGTTTTCACTGCTTCCAGTGCTCTTCAATGCCTCAGTGATTTCTTGCCGTTTTCCCCAGGTGGTTGCCGGTGGAAGCACTGGCCCGCCATGATCTGCAACGGTTGGCCTACTGTCTCCTAGAAGGCTTTCTGGTGCCTATGCATTGCCTCCATTATACAGGTGCAGACTGTGTGTGTATTTAAGGGTTAATGACCTAAATGCCTCTGGACTGAGAATCTGGACACAGTGGTTGACTGACACCTGTGGGTGCTTCTGACATGGGAGCCACACACCAAACCTGGTTATCGTCACTTCCAGACTGCAGGGAACTGACCTTTGGCCATCATCCTTCCCCACAGGTTCTCCTTTTTTGTCCTGTTGTTAGGAGACCACTGAGAGATCTGAATAAGTCAAATGATATGGAGTCTTGACCTCCCAATTTGTTTGAGCTTTTAAAGGCAAAACCTCAGTTGTATGACATACTCAGAAAGACAGCTGTGAACGGCTGCCGCAAACAAGCATTGTTTACAGAAGCAGAAAGACAGCAGTTAGGCCATCAGGCTGGTCTCGAAACTTTTAGATCAGGGACATTGTATAGAAATTTATGACTGGTCTTATGTGACCAGCGACCAATTTACACAAGATAATTTTTGTTTTTTAAAAAACGTTTTGACAAGACATACATAACTCTAGCTGACTAACCCCTACACTATTCTAAATGTTGCAAGTTGGATGGAAAATTATTCTGGCAATTGGGAGAAAATGAATACCACAAAGTCACTCTTAAGTGTAGCAGCTTACAGCCCAGCTCCTGGGCAAGGTTTCCCCAAGGTAAGGACTCTATCCTGGCAGGGGAGGGTTTCCCCCGGCCAGGTCCCCCGAGTGTAACAACTCTTTAGAAACTTTCCCTAGTGAACATGTTAGAATCCTGCTCCACTCTCCTTGTCATGCTCAACCCAGGCTCCTTCCCTGCCCCAGCAAAAGAAGGTCTCAGTCAAACCTCATTCAAGAAATGTATTGGGAAAGAGGAATCTAGGAGAGTTGAGTGATTGCCTCTGCCAGGGTGGAAAAAGGCAGCAGCAAACTCAACAGGCACAGGGCTTATATAGGGCTTCTTAGGGGTGGAGTTTTAACAGGGTGAAGATTTCCAGGATGGGAATTGATCAGATTTCAATCCCCTTGATCTTGGGCAAGCTCAGATCGGCTAGATTTCCTGCTCAGGGATTGGTTGGTTTTGTGCTCAGTTGGTCAAGTTGGTTTGGCTCTAGTTTCAGGGCTGAAGTATGTTTCTTTCACTGGTCCTTCCTAGCCTTCTGGCTACAGTTTCAGGCACAGGGTGTTTTTCTCTCACTGGCTCTGGTTACAGGGCCAAAGAACGTTTCTTTAGCTCTGGTCTAAGTGTGTTCCTTTGGCTGGCCCTTTTCCCCTACACTATATAACCGCAAGAACCCTATGCCATGTATGTACTGCCTCTCCTATCGAATGACTGTGCCTCAGAGTTGTTCTGATTGAAGGGACGATTCTGCTTCTGGAGATGCTTTTCTTGTATTCCCAAGTTGCCTCCATCAACCTCACCATTACAAATAAGCATGCTCTGTTATAATACAAGTTTTATTTATCAAAATAGGTGGTCAGCCCTGGACTGTATTTTACAACATGGAAGATCTTCCCGATCTTTTACACCTTCCTGTCAATACTATAGCTACAAATATTCTCCATCTGGCCAGCCTCGCCAGTTTTCTCCCTGCCTGTTCTAAAGTCACTTATAAAATAATCACTCTGAGGCTTAATATTAATTACATATTCTTTGGAGTATTTGCTCAGGCTTCTTATTAACTCTTACATCTTAAATTCACTCATTTATTTTATATTTGACCACAAGGCTTGTGCTTCTTGGGCAGCTTCACGGCTTCTGTCTTACTCTGCTTTTCCTTCCTGCGCTGTTTAGTTTTCCAGCCCTGCCATAGGCACAGCAGCTTCTTTACTAATCATTGGTAATAGAACATACTCACAGCAGACAGAGCGGAATCCCCTCATTACAATATTTCCTAAGTTGTGTCTTTTGGTGTAAATACTGCCTATCAAGAATTTCATAACAAGCAATTCTAATAGTCAGTTATTATCTGATAATATGAGCTTTTCCCAAGGAGATGTAAACAAAAGCCTTCTCACTCTACATAGGGCACCAGCAACGAAAACAAACATCCCCTTAGATGGAATTACTTACAAAAGCACATGTGACTTTGAGGCATCTTCACCACTAAAGAAAACAAAGCAAAACCACCTTTCCCAGCAACTGTCAACTGTCAGGATTCTTACAGTGGAGCGGGGCCTTGTAAGCTCTCCCTGCCCCCACCAACTGTTATTAACTGCCATATATCTTCAGGAAGGGAAGGGGCCTCATGAGTCATTCTTCCCAGTCAACTGTTAACTGTGCCTTGAGAAGGAGTTTGGCCTTGTGAACTGGCCCCACGTCATACAGGCTTTTCTGCATGGCTATAGTCATGTCAGACCTGGAGGACAGTATATGGAATAGTAAGACGCATTAACCATTTCACTGTAATACAGAGATCCATTATGGCAAGTTATTAAATAAAGGCTTGTATTTCTGGATATACCTGGTTTATCTAGGGCAAGTGTTCAGATCAGTCTATCCCTTTGATAAAAAGACAGTTAGCTTTACTTAGCTGCTTAGAATTCTCTCAGTCAATACACCCCAAAGAGTGCTAGTGAGATGGCTCAGTGAGTAAAGAAAGGCACGTATTTCAAAAGCCTGCTGACCGGAATTGGATCCCTAAAACGCACTCTACAAAACCATTCTCTGACTCCAGAGCAGGTATCATGTGGTACTCACCTGCTTCCACTACCTCACAAAAGTAAAAGTTCCCCACAAAAACAGGACATACGTATAAACACGATTAAATATACTACATATTATATATTCATATATGAAGAGATTTAGAAATAATTGGCTTATGTGGTTATGGGGACTGTCAAATTTACAGATTTACAGATTCAAACAAACGGATGCTGTGAGCTAGGTGTAGTGGCTGGCGCACACCTTTAACCCAGCACTTGGGAGGCAGAGATGGATGTATCTCTGTGGATTTGAGGTCAGCCTGGTCTACACAATGAGTTCCAAGACAGTTTGAGCTACACAATGAGACACTGACTTAAAAAAAAAAGACTAAAAATACAAAACCAAAAATGGATGCTGTGGTCTTGTGAACTTTGTACAGCAGCCTAGCAACTTGGATTCTTTGTTTGTTTGTTTGTTTTTGTTTTTCGAGACAGGGTTTCTCTGTAGCTTTGGTGCCCATCCCGGAACTAGCTCTTGTAGACCAGGCTGGCCTCGAACTCCCAGAGATCTGCCTGCCTTTGCCTCCCGAGTGCTGGGATTAAAGGTGTGCGCCACCACCGCCTGGCTAAGCCTAGCAACTTGGAAACTCAGCAGAAGTCCCACTCCTGTAAGAGGAGACTGCTCATTTTTTTCCTGGCCACCCGCTCATGAATAATCACAGAAAAACTATATTTTATATTAATTACAACACTGGCCAATAGCTTATGCATCTTTCTAGCTAACTCGTACATCTTAAATCAACCTATTTCTATTAATCTGTGAATCACCATGAGGCTGTGGCCTACGGGTAAGTTTCTGGCTGGCGTCTTTCTCCTTCAGCAGCTACATGGCATCTCTGACTCTACCTACTCTCTCTCCATATCTCTGTTCAGATTTCCTAGCTGGCTTTACTTAGCCATTGTCCAGCTTCTTTTATAACCAATGGTAATAAGACAAAGGAGAATCCCATATCACACTCCTCTGGGGAAACTGTTTCTGTCCTGAAAGCCTTGAATTGATTGGTTGAGGGTCACACACATTATTGATGACCACCTTTTGATGTCAGAAGAGATGATGACCATAGGTTGTAAGTCTATATAATACTTCCATAATAGTATCTGGACATTATAATCTTGTTAGCATAAAATTAACCATAAGTCATACTTTATTTCTATCCTATCATTTAACCTTTGTAAGCTGGTAACATAAATTTCTGCTGGAACATGAAATTATAATTTAATAATAATAATCATACATTGTGTTAATCACTGTTCAGTTGTTGTGAAAAAGACATGACCAAGGCAACTCTTACAAAAGGAAGCATTTATCCGGGTGGTGGTGGCACATGCCTTTAATCCCAGCACTCGGGAGGCAGAGGCAGGCGGATCTCTGTGAGTTCGAGACCAGCATGGTCTACAAGAGCTAGTTCCAGGACAGGCTCCAAAGCTACAGAGAAACCCTGTCTCGGAAAAAAAAAAAAATTAATTGGGGGCTTGCTTACAGTTTCAGAGGGTGAGTTCATGATCATCATGGGAAGAAGACAGGCATGGAGCAGTAGCTGTGAGTTTTATATCCTGATCCATAGGCAGAC